TGTAAGTCAGCTAAAGATCTTACAAGTTACACTAAAGGTTCTAATCCAATCGTATTAAAGTGGAGCCCATGATTCTGCATTCCAATGAGATGATTTGAGCCCCACAGTTTTTTTTAAACTGGAAGGTTCTAGAATCTAGATCAGATAGTCGTCCATTCAGACACTGATTCTCATCAACCGCAGAAGCACAGGAAAAAGCGATCACTCTCAGACAGTCAAGTGCAAGGTCTGTGAGTGCTTGCAGTTTCTTCAGCTGAGTCATAGGGCTTGAGATGACAGCAGTAGAGGGGGCCCAGCTATCCCATTTCCAGTATGGATAATGTGCAACGGTTCAGAGCAGAGTCTTTTTGCTCCCACCACCCCTCTGTTCCATGAGTAATCATCTCAGGGCTCCCCAGACTTCTTCAATACAGCCCTAGCATTCCTTTTATTGGGGAACACTTCCCCCTGCTGTCCTCTGGTGCTTAGAGCAACAAGAACTCAAGGCATTTTCTTTTTCCCTTTAAAGACTGAGGCATGTTTACAAGGCTAAATGAAACTCTATTTACAGTGTGGTTTCAAGTGGCTTCCTCCTTCTGCTCTTGTGTCCACCCAGGGAGCCCACTTCTCAACTTTCTGTTTTCTTTAGAGAGACAAAGAGTCTCCCCAGCCAGCCATTGCAGAATTCCTGTTAACCTTTCATTAAGCCTGCTGACAGCTGGCTTCGGCTCTTTGTGAGTTACTTCCACACATTCCCATTTAATGTGTCCCACCTGGCTTCATTAAGGCTCCTGCCAGGTTCTTCACTCTGCTGCTGCTTTCCCTGCAAATGCAAATTGGGTTCTGAGTCAGTAACACAGGGACAAGGAAGACTGAGCTGCAAAGGGGGTGCAGTTAGAGAAAAGTCAATATATTCAAATTGCCAGTGATCCTAGTAAGCTAAAGTCCATTTGGGTCCAATGAAGGTCAAGGCAGGAGGAACAGTGCTTGAAGCCACTGAAAGCTCAGGGTAGAAACTAGAGCATCGGATAATCCCAGCACTTGGGGAATGGACACCGGAAGTCAGGACTTTAAAGTCATCTTCATAGCAAGTTCAAAACCAGCACGGGACACACAAGAACCTATCTGGAAAAAAGCAAAACGAAGAGGATGGGGTTCCTTCAAGCTTTGTTCAAGGCCTGGCTCTGCTGCAGGGGTTGGAATGCATGACCTTGAGTGAGTTCTTTTCTATGCTTGGGTTTTCTGAGCTCCGAATACTGAGTAACAAGCCAATGTTGCTGAGCTTCCAGATTTGATGCTTGACTTGGAACCCTTAGTTGAGTGTCCAGAATGCAGGATAGACCACTGATGGTTGTGTTATCTATTTCATTTTCATTTCAAGGCCAAGGTTGAAACCCTAGGTTGCTATAAATCCTCAAGGTTAACTTGTGGCTTTCCTCTGTACACATCAGCTGTAAGAGCACTGTGGATCAGTTTTTCTTTATGGAAATGGGAAACAACAGGATTCCAGTCCATCACTTTTACTAGCTCTGTTTTGTCTCATTTAGATGTTAAACTCCTTAGTAACAATTCCCCCCCTCCTATTCTAGCATAAAATAGATACCAGAAGGTTGTTTGCACACAGCTACCAGTTGATGCTGACTACACAGAGAGAATGAAATCAACAACTACACCAAAAGCCACTTCTGATCGAGGAGTCTTAGACACTTAAGCAGTGCTAGATATCAAACCCAGGGCCTTGCCCATGCTAGTCACATGCTCTACCACTGAGCTACATTCCCTGTTTGTTTTTAAATTAGCTCATCGTTCTATAAATTCAGTCTAAAGCTGGCCTCCTTGTCCTTACCAGCAGCCATATGTTTGCTTGCATGGGACGTAGTTTAAATGTTTATGTCCTTAGTTGGACATAGAGACATTGTCATTGTTCACAATTGCCTTCAGTTCCTCCACTCACTGCATTGACTTCCTGGTGGCTGAGGCTATTAGTTTGTCATCTGCCCCAGCAAGAACTTCTCTGTGGGTTTAAGAGCTGAAAGTCTGGTGTTGGTGGTGCATGCCTTTAATCGCAGCACTCGGGAGGCAGAGGCAGGCGGATCTCTGTGAGTTCGAGGCCAGCCTGGTCTACAGAGCGAGTTCCAGGACAGTCTCCAAAACAATACAGAGAAACCCTGTCTCAAAAAACCAAAAAAAAAAAAAAGAGCTGAAAGTCAGGAACCAGGAACCTCTGACTTGTGTTGAGGAGAGACATGGAGAAAACGTTAGCAGGGAAAAGGGTATAGCAGGTAGACTCTTCAAAGGTCAGGCAGATATCTAAGAGTTGAATCTAAAGTGACCGGCTGATTCAGGAAGCTCCTAACCTCTGTTCTATCGGGTTGCTACCACATAGTCTAAGAGAGGGAACGCTCACCTGTTTGGAGCTATTACTTTATAAGAGCTTGATAAAACCCCAGGCCCCTGGCTCTCCCTGCACTTTCTCGTTCAGCAGGTACAGGATGAAGGCAGGAATTTACATTCCTGACAAGCTCAGGTGCCACTGTGGCTGCTGGGCAGAAGCTCATAGCTTAAAAACAGCCAGGGTGGCACAAGGGTGGGTGGTCCTCTCACCTTACAGAATGGAATCCACCACTGGTGGAGATAGCCTTTGCTCCCGTGAGAGTGAATCCAGATAGTCTGGTCAGTCATCTGGTCAAGGGACCACCCTTTAGGAAGGCAGGTTTGCTGTAAGCCATGCTAAAGAGAAGGGAGGGAAAGTGATCAATCCTTTTAATGGGATTTTTCTCTTCCTTCCCAGAATTCCTCTGTCTTCTTAAGTCTGCTCACTTCTCTGAATTACTCAAAAACCATACCTTTTCCCTTTGCTTCTTTCTAAGCACCATTTCCCTATCACTTTAGCCTCCTCTCTTTCTTCAAAGCACATCTCCCTATGAGGCTGTCTCTCTAGTATGTGGCTGTCTGTCCATTATGTGGCTGGTCTGCATGCTGGCCTAACTCAAGGGCTTTTCATCCTCCTTGTCTCTTCATCCTCTGTCTCCTTCCTCCAGACAGCCATGGAGAGTCACAGCTTGGGAATTTGTTGTTTGTTTGTTTGTTTCAAGATAGGGTTTCTCCATGTGGCCCTGGCTGTCCTAGAACTCATTCTGTAAACAGCTGAACTGAACAAGGGGGAAGTCATAGACCCCAGACTGATGACTGAGAAGTCAGCATGGGACCGATCAAGACTCCCTGAACGTGGGTGTCAGTGAGGAGGCTTCAGCATTCTTTGGGGCCTCAGGCAATAGATCAGCATTTAGCCCTGTCCTCCAGATGGACTTTGGGAGCCCATTCCACGTGGAGGAATGCTGTCTCCACCTGGACACATGGGGGAGGGCTTAAGCCCTGCCCCAGATCATATGGCAGACTTTTGAGATTCCCCCATGAAGAGACTCACCCTCCTTGGAGAGTGGAGTGGGGATTGGGGGAGGGGTTGGGGAAGGGCTGAAGGGGGGAGGAAAAGGAGGAGAGGGAGAAGGAACTGGGATTGACATGTGAAGCAAACTTGTTTCTAATTTAAATAGAAACATAATAATAATAATAATAACAATAATAAAGAACTCATTCTGTAGACCAGGCTGGCCTCTAACTCACAGAGATCCATCTGTCTCTGCCTCTCCAATGCTGGGATTAAAACTGTCTGTCCACCACCATTATTTTTTAATATATATGTAAAATAAGTATATATAATAAAATTGTCTTCAAGCTTACTTTTTGTGTCCATTCTTAAATTCTTTTATTAACTAGACTAAGAACTCAGAGTCCCCAATGTCCCCAGTAACATGTGGCAGCTCTGGGGGGTTCACCCCCAAAATTCTGGTAAAAGCACTGAATGCATATTAGAATTTCTTTGGGTCCTTAAAAATATCAGATGCTCAACTGACACCCTGGGCTAACCACAAAAGAATCTCTTCAGGAACAGAACCCAGAGATTCCAATTTGAAAAATTCCCCTCTTAACTGCAAGATTCTCCTGAGGCTGGGGATTCTTGGGTCGAGACTCCCAGAGGTCATCACTATATCTAAAATGCCATGGGTATATATAGAAACATGGCTCATTCTGACCCAGGAATCTTAAGACCACTATTGGGGAATGATTGACAACAGTCATTAAGCAGAGTTAAATGCTCTTTGGGAGCACCCTCCTGTTTTCTTTCTAGTCAGGGTTAATGACTGATGGTGGGAGTGGTTTTCAGAGATGGATACGGAGCTGGAGCTAAGATGGGAGGAGGGGTACCACTGACTCACACAGTTTCAAAACTGATTACCTATATTAAGTCATGTGGTCAAACTCTACTTTCCTTGTGACAGTGCTGAGTCCCTGAACTTGACTTTAGGCCTATTTCACACCTTAGTTTCTAAATGACAGACTTCAGTAGCTTAAGCTAGCCTCAAGATGAGTAAAAGGAAACAGAGGCAGACTGGCTCTGTGGCTAATGGCTCCTATCTCTTCTGCTCCATACAACAGCATGAACTGGGATGAACAAATGCCCTGGTGAGAAGGTTGGACATGGGTTCTTACCAAATGGATCATGCCAGGTCAACTAGGCTACAGGGTGACAGATCTATAGGCTTCACCATGAGGCTAGTTTTGTTTGTCTTGTGTGTTTTAATTTATTATCTGTATGTTCATGTGCATAATACATGAAGGTGCATGGTGCATGCTATGGCATGTGTGTGGACATCAGAGGACAACTTGCAAGAATAGGGAATAGGCCCTCTTCTTCCACCATATGGGTCCTAGAGATCAAACTTAAGTCATCGAGCTTGGCGGCAAGCTCCTTTCCCAGTTGATCCATCCCACAGTCTCTGTTTGCCCCTTAAGGTAATGTTAAGGAGGTAGAAATGCAAAGGTGCATTAGATAGAGGGCCATGGTCTTATTCCTTTAATGATACTACTGCCCTGAGCATGAGAAAAGTCTGAGAAATGTCATTCAGATCTAGCTAGTTTTCCATAGTAGTCAGCCAGAAGCATCTTCATTCAGACATACCTTCTCATTCAATAGCTCTTTGCTTTTATTTCTCTCTCAGGGTTCCTCATACTAGTAATTATTACAGTTTTAAGACAAATCTGTTCTTCCTGGGCTGCAATTACAATGAATTATACTTAGAGGAATTTACTTGGACAGCTTCCGTCTGTACAAAAATCCTTGTTATCTGATACCCTCGCTCTGATGGGCACTTGGCAGCTTCCAAAATTTAATTTCTCTGGCGAGAGTTCAGACGGCATTATGCTCATCTTTTAAGACACTCAGATATGAAAAGAAATTCATATCATAAAAAATTAGGAGTTTTAGAAGCAAGTCAAACTTTTGATGTGATTGCATGGTATTACCTGCATCCCGAATAAAGCATTAGGATGTTCATGCTATATCCAGCACGGGCACTGAACTCAGAAAGCTGGCAGAAAAATGGAGACACAGGCATGTGTAAGAGGAAAGCAACTGAGGTAGGAAAGGGACCTGAACTTGTGTCTCAGAAGAAAGGCAACTTAGATACCAGGAAGCAGCCAGACAGATTAAATGAGTGCTGTGTAAATGGAGTTCAACCACCAACAGGCAGATGCTATCTGCAAAAAGAATATTTTTTGCTTAGAGTATTTTTAACTCCCTCTACTGTTGGGTGGCTGAAGGGACTCCCACCACTGTGGCAATGAGTTCACTATCACTGACAGTAACAAGCCCAGTGGAGAAGGATCCCCTAGCCACAAATCTGCAGAGATGACTAAAGCACTAGGCAGGGAAGATGTGTATCTAAAGTACCTTCGTGTGGGAAGATAAAATGAGGCTGGACCCATAGCATCAGTGGAAAAAAAGTGATGCTTTAAAAGAAAATTGCAATGTCCCCAAACTTATTTTGACAATTCAAATATCATCCCCCATGCTTAATCCTAAGAAAAGGTGGAAAATTAGAGAGTAAAGATTCCGTCTTCATCATCCCTTCCATGTGACATGTCATTGAGGACACTTTTACAATCTTCAATGTTGTCTGGCCTGTAAAGAGAGGAAAAGGCTGATTAAAAAACAGAAGCCGGGCGGTGGTGACACATGCCTCTTAATCCCAGCACTTGGGAGGCAGAGGCAAGCAGATCTCTGTGAGTTCGAGACTAGACTGGTCTACAAGAGCTAGTTCCAGGACAGCCTCCAAAGCCACAGAGAAAACCCATCTCAAGAAATAAAAACAAACAAACAAACAAAAACAGAAAAAAACAAGGGTTAAGGGTGCTCCATCCGGCCCAAGCCTCCTATTTTACAAATGGAAAAACTGAGGCTATGGAGCTCAGAGGACTTTTGCCAGCCTGTTACAATAAAGAGAATACCACTTGCTTTCATTATAAAATCATGACCTAAATGCATTGATATCCCAAGGAATCCCCAGCTTTGAACTCTGAGTTCAGGGCCTCAGATCCCCCCACCTAATAATGTGCCATTGCTAATAAATGTTATGGTGCTGATGCAATTAATTATTGAAACGATTTACACCAAATCATTTCATTTATTTCACACTAAAAGCTATAAATAGAACAGATATTCAAAATCTGATCCCACAGACTCTTCACACACTCTTAAAAAATAAAAGCAAGTAATGACACATGCTGGTCTACGGGACAAAGGAACCAAGTCCCAGGAATAATGTTCCAAACATGTTACCTAATTTCCATATTGCTAACCCTCTTCTCAGTGACTCCATTCAAACAATGTGCTTTTAAAACGAGCCACTCAGTGCTTAAAGAGCTTCAAGCAGAGAATACTGTGACATGCATCATCTTTCGCATGCTATACTTCCATTAACGCTCCCTGCTTTCCTCAGTCCTATTTGGACACACGTGTAATGTTAACTGAGACAGAGGTTAATGTGAGTTAAAACTCCACAGCCTTTTCTGCCTCTAATGCAGTGTCTCTCCAGCCCTGTGTTTAATCAGAACATAAGCACAAGTCATTAAACCACTGAGTAGTATCTAATCATGTGTAGCAGCCTGTATAATCATCGCAACAATCGGCCATGCAAGATGAATTACCTCTTGTGTCTCTGCAAACAATTGGCTTCTGTGACTCTCCCTGAAAAGACAAGGCTGGGATGTGAGCAGAGGTGCTTTGTGGACTGCTGGGAGAAGCCCACCCCTCCCAAATAGACCAGCATCGGCAGGGACAGCTTGCTGCTTCCGACCTTCAGTGCAAATGTTGATCTCAAAGCCACTCCTGCATTGTGGCTATGGTGATGTTATACTTTAAATACATTTTCATTTAAAAATGTTTTTTTCATAAAACATATTTTGATCGTTTCTTTTCTTCCCCCAACTCCTCCCAGATCCTCCTCACCTCCCTAGCCATCCAACTTCATATTCATATTCTCTCCCCTGCCCTGTCTCTGTCTCTCTTTCTCTGTCCCCCTCCCTTCCTCCCTCCCTCCTTTTCTCCCTCCCTCCCTTCCTCCTTCTCTCCCCCTCTCTGTCAAAACATTAAAAATAAAGCTTAAACACAATAACAAAACTGAAAAGCAAAACAGACATATTAAAAGAAAGAAAACCAATATGTAATCAGACAAGAAATATAAAATAGAAAGTACACACACAAAAGAGAGAAAGATAGATAGGGAAGAAAGAAAGAAACAAAGAAAGAAAAGCATGGAATTCATTTTGTGTTGGGCAGCTGTTCCTGGGCATCGGGCCTGTCTTAGACTGTGGTTGATATATCCAGTGATACTCCATTGGAGAAAGCTGATTTTCCCAGCAGGTATCAATTGCAAAAGCTCTGGGTTAAGAATGGGACTTAATTTCTACTCCCATTCTCAGTGCTGGGATTTTCGTCCAACTTGAATCTGGATAGGCTCTGTGTACACTGACACAGTCCCTGTGACTTCATATGTATTAGGTCTGTTGAGTCTGAAAGACTCTGTTTCAGAGTCACCCACCACCTCTGGCTCTTGTAATCTTCCTGCCTCCTCTTCCAAATAGAGCCCTGAGCCCTGAGAGATGGGGTTTGTAGCCATCCCTCTTGGGGCCAAGTCCTCCAAAGTCTGTCACTCTCTGCACATTGTCCAGTTGCTCTCTTTGTTATTTCCCATCTACTGCATGAAGGATAAGGGTTGAACAATGCTCTTCTCTAAGGGTATAAGAAGATATTGCGGCCGGGCGTTGGTGGCGCACGCCTTTAATCCCAGCACTCGGGAGGCGGAGGCAGGCGGATCTCTGTGAGTTCGAGACCAGCCTGGACTACCAAGCGAGTTCCGGGACAGCCTCCAAAGCCACAGAGAAACCCTGTCTCGAAAAAAACAAACAAACAAAAAAAGATATTGCATTTTTGGGTTATTTAGTACCCCACATTACAAGGGCTCACCTGACTTTGTGTGTGTGCGTGCATGTCTGTGAATATACATACATGTGCAGGCTTGTATGTGCATGTGGACACCTGTACACATCTAGGTACATGCACTTGGAAGCTAGACCTCAACTTTTTTGTTCCTCAGGCACTGCCCACCTTGCTCTCGAGAGAAAGAGTCTGTTCCTGGCCCAGACTTTGCTGATGAGCTAGGCTGACTGGCTAGAGAGCCTCAGAGATCCATCTACCTGTGCCAGCCTCCCCAGCACTGGGATTACAAGCAGGTGCTACAATGCTTGGCCTTTTTGCATGGGTTCTGAGAATCAAACTCAGGTCCTCATGCTTGAGTGGCAAGAACTTTACTGATTAACCTATATCCCCAGCACCTCATTTAGGTTTAAACATACTTTTATGAGATATACCAAGAATCATTCAAAACAGCAGCTATGGCTTCATGTAAGTGTTAATAGCAAGTGTAGGAAGTTCTGGATAGTTTCTGCAGTACTCTCCGAGGACAGGTTCAATGGTGAATCATCTCATCTTATGGCTGACAGCTATGAAGCACTAATTTTCCTCTGTTTTATAACAGTACTGGGTGCTGTGTGCCTGTACATTGTATGAAAACTATAATTTTTATTTCATAGCTCCTTTTTGCAGGATTTATAGTTTTCTTTTTGATGTGGGGAAGATATAAATCATAGGTCAACTTCAGAATTTTATGAAAGCATTGGATCCTGTTCCCTGAAAAAAATTAGATATGAACACATGAACATATTTGCAAACCATTTCCAAGACTTCTCTCTCCCGAAAGCCATCTGTGGTCCCTAAGAAAATCTGTTCACAGTGTTACTTACTCCTGTGATACTCCTTGAAAATATAAGACAGGAGTCCAGGGGTGTTTTGAACTGTAAGAAAGGAATACTGGGCTAGAAAGATGGGTTGATGGTTAGTAGCACAGGATATTCATCCAGAGGACCCACGTTCAACTCCCAGCATAGACATGGCAGTTCTCAATGGTCTGTAACTCCAGTTCCAAGGGATCTGATGCCCTCTTCTGATTTCCATGGGTACCAGGCACACATGTGGTATATAGACATATATGCAGGTAAAACACCCCCACATATAAAATAAGTAAATAATCAATTTTACAAAGAGAATAACTGGGCAGTGATAGCACATCCCTTTATTCCAGTACTCAGGAGGCAGAGGCAGGAGGATCTCTGAGTTAAAGGCCAGCCTGGTCTACAGAGTGAGTTCCAGAACAACAGTCAGGGCTACAAAGAGAAACCCTGTCTCAAAAGAATTGAGGCGGTGGGGGGGGAGCAACCATACTTTCAACACAAGTCAATAATAAAAACAAAACAAATTAGGCACAACTTATGTGTGGTATCTGCGTCCTATCAATGAATGTGTACTTTGTCTCATCTTTTTCATTATCAAAGTGTCAACTTTACCATGAGGACAATACACAAAGCCATTTGGTGGTGATGAATTTACCTGTCAACCCCATGGCTGGGGTGAGGACAGTGAGAGAACTGATTCTTTCGGGGGATAAAAGGAAAGAGGAGGAAGCAGAAACATCCCTCCTCTCTTGACACTATAGCTCTGCAGCCCACCTGCAAATGTCCATCCCTGCAGGTCTATTATATCTGGCCCTGCCCACCTTACCTCGAAGAAGAAATACCAGAAACAGTGACACCATCAGCACAAACCCCACGCAGCAAGCAATGATCAAGATGTTGGTCTGTCTGTTGCTCTGTCAAGATAAAGGTAAAGTGATTGGTCCCCCACTGCTGAATGCTATCATCTCTGGAGGGTACCACGGGACACCTCTTACCCCAAGAATGCCTTCCAGTCACCAAAGATGTCATTACAGCTCATGATATTCTGCCTGATGTGTCTCCAAGTCAAAACAAACTCAAAGTTCTAAATAAGGTGCAACTTTCCCATTAAAAACCCAAAACATTTTTATCCCCATATTTGTCTACATCTTAGATATCAGGCATCTTGGGCTATTGCGCTCAGACATTAGGAAATTGAAAAAATAATAACTATGTTGTGAGCTGTGTTTTCCATTGTCAAGTCTCTTTGTTGGGCACAGCTTAAAGCCTTTTAGCTTTCCCTGTGTACTTCTTTTCATGGCTGACTCAAGCTTCTAAACAACAAAATAAAAGGGAAGACAAAACTCAGTTTCAAATTTTCTGTCAGGGTGGTTCTGAAAGTATGGTCTGGGAGCCTAACACATCAAAATGTTTCCAGGAGACTTGATTGGTCCCTTTCATCATTGTTCTCTCATGAGCACTGCAGGGCCATTTCCCAAGGTATGTGATGTCACAAGGCAGCTTCACTCATTGCTCATCACACAGAACATGAGAGCAGGCATGAGTATCATCTCTGTCTCCTTATGATGGTTCATCTTGGGAACTTCATCGCAGTGAAGTTGGAGATTTGAGAAGCACGCCTCCGGGTGTGTCCATGAGAATGTTTCCAAACAGGATTAACTAAGCTGGGAAAACTTACCCTGACTGGGGAGCTAGATGAGGAAGGGGGAAAGAAGCCAAGAGCACACATGTTCTCTCTTCCCTCTCTCTTTCTCCCTCTCCCCCACCCCTCTGCTCTTGGCTGTCACGATATGAGCTGTTCCACTCCATCATGTTCCCTATGCCATAATGAAAGGAAACATTGAGCAAAATGATGTTCTCATCCTCTGGGTTGTTTCTTTTTGGTATACTGGCAGGGCAATAACAATGACAAAGCCAAGTGTCTTCATTTTTTTTCCTGGTCCTGTGATAAATGATCTTTAAGAAGCAGCTTAAGGGAGAAAGGGTTTCTTCTGGCTCACAGTTAAACAGCAAGGATATCAAGGCAGCCAAAGCCTGAAGCAGCTGCATCACATCCACACTCCAGAAGGAGAAAACATTTCTTTCTGCTCCCTTATACAGCCCAGGACTATAATAGGTGATGACACCACCTCAGTTGACATAATGAATATAATGCCTGGCAGGCAAGACCTGTCTCACAAGTGATTCTGCACTCTGCCAACTTAACAATTCATATCATGCACCACAGTAACTAAATGCCACAGTTAAGCCCTACAAATGAGATTTGCCAAAGTGTGACTACTATCTTCCCCACTGATTTCATTTTCACTTGGAAAGATACTGTTAGCTTTTTTAAAAAACATATGCGATTTGTGTGGCTACCTAGTGAGTTTGCTATCTTTGGTTTAAAAATAGTACATATTTAAAAAATATCAGTGTAAACTTTTAGGAATTTAAAGGGCTGTTACACTGAGTCAGGCATTCAGTCATCTTATGAGGACACACCCACTTCCCTTGGGTAAGCTCAACTCCTTCCTTCCTTCCTTCCTCCCTCCCTTCCTTCCTTCCTCTCTCATTCTCCAATACACAGAAGACAAGAATCAGCCAGAAACAGAAGCGAAGACACAACTGTCTCCAAGGAAGGACTGCCTTCACAGATATCTGTGGTGCCTAATGTTTTTTCTTAAAGCCACTTTAGCCATTTTTGCAATAAGCACAAATAAAAGAAAGCCTCAATAAACAAGAGCAATGGTGGAGGCAGGTGCTGGCACCGTAGCTGCATCAATAGCACTGAGCTTCACACAAGGGGCATGTAATGATTTTTGCATGGTTTTGTAAATATTTTTCTTTTTGCTTTCAGAGCATCTGTGTGTGTTGAAGTAACAATCGATAGAATTCTATGAAGAGTACAAGTTTACAAATCTTTGACCACCTCATAATAGTTACTATGCATTTGCCATTTAGCAATATTCTATTCCCCCAAATTCATCCATGAAAACTTCTACTGGCAATTTCTAAAATCGAAGTCAAATGCTTCCAGTACTTCATAGATCTTTTACCTGATATGATTTGGCCTTTCTCCACAAAGGATTGATTGTCTTTAATTCTGGGGAGGCAAAGAGCAGAATATAGTTACACTTGCTGTGGTAGAATTAAAAGTACCTACTGAAATAGGTCTCCAAAGCCACCTGCTAAGCCAGATGACATATTCAATTCTGCAGCACCATCCTCCTGTTTGTGTAAGTGGTCTATGCAGATTTGCTTTGACATGGCCCTAGACTCAAACATCCACTGCTCTCCAGCATGACCCCCGAGGGACAGAACATCTGCACTTGGCAGATGGCTCAAACGTGACCCAGAGAAGAAGCATTTGACTTCAGTTCTCTTTTTTTGTAATTATTACAACTTTTCTTTAAAAAAGAGCTTTATTTTTATCTTATGTGTATGTGTGAATACCTTCATGCATGTACGTGTATATCTGTGTCTGGAAGCCATGGCCAGAAGGCATCAGATCCCCTAGAATTGGAGTTCCAGGCCATTTTGAGCTGCCTGGTACGGGTTCTGAAAACTAAACCTGGGTCTTCTGCAAGAGCAGCGAGTCATCTCTCCAACCCCTAAACATATTAAAAGTTGCACTTTATTTAGTGTGTATGCAGTTGGGAGGAGGGGAGGTGTGCACATGCACACATGCTAACCTGCTTGCTTGAGTACTCAGGTACATGTGAAAGGCAGGGGATGACATGTGGGAATCATTTCTCTCCTTTCACCAAGTTGGTCCTGACTTTCCAACTCAGGTTGGCTTGACGACAAGTACTTTTACCCATAAATCATTTCGACAGACCTTGCTCTGATTGTTCTAGATGCCTGAGCCGTGCATTCAAAATTCTTATCCAGCAAGGAAAGCTACCTGTCTCTCAGTTAGCAAATATTTATTAAGAATTTATTATCAGCCACTCCTTTAGCTATACTGTAGACCTCTTGGAACTTACCACATAATGCATAAAAATCAAACTTCCATAGCAACATATTGGTCAGTAATGAATCCTATAGCCAACAATGGGACCATGAGCTACAATGGAGTCAAAAGAATCTATCATCTAATATGTCTTAGCCAGCATAATGTCACTGCAAAATGCATTGTTCACTTTGCTGCTGCTGCTGCTGCTGTAAATGTACCGCACCACCAATTGGTGAGTATACAGCAAAGGCAATTTTGTACTTGATAACAGATGGCTGCCATGGACTATTCACTGTCTTATACCTTTTATCATTAGAATATAGGCTTTCTACTTAGAAAATATATTTATGCTAGAACAACACACTCTGTTTCTCTAACAGCAGCCTCATATATCTATCTTGTGCTTACCATCATGTGTTTGATATCCTGTTTTCTTTCTCACAGACTATACTGTGTTGTGTGTGTATGCACATGTGCACATGCATGTGTACACATGCATATACATACCACATATACATATATATATCATCTATGTACCATGTGCCATGTATATGTACACATGATGTGTACACATATCATGTAACTGAGGCATGCAGTAAGCTATACCATTTAGGAATCTGGAAGTCCACTCTGTGATGGTCTTACAAGTGTCACCTCACTTTAAGATACCTCATCATTAAGCAATGTGGAAGGTTGACTTGAAACAACTGTAAAAAATACATGAAGAATGAGTGCAGGATATCCCAGGGTGAATCAAGAAGATGTGAACTGTTCTGAAGAGTCAGGAAAGCTTCTGTAAAAAGAGACATTGAAGCTGAAACAAAAAATTCATAACCAATAGCGGAGGCCCAAGGGAACTTTCCTCAGGGAATTCTAAGCACCAACTGATTAAAATGCCAAGATGACTGCACCATAGACTTTACGTCCCTTAGGACATCGATAATATGCCAAAGGTCAGAGGCCAGAAGCTAGAAGATTGTGTTAGCCTACCAGACCAATGACAATGATGGGTATTCACAGACTGCTGGGGAAGGAAGGCCTACGCAAGACACGCAGCTCAAGGGTCAAGGGTCAACAATGTGTCTATGAGAACACACCCTACAGACAGAGTCCCTATCTGCCTGTGCAACATGACCTAGCACATACTTGGTATTCAATAACTGTTTGTCAAATTGACAGCTAAGAGGAGGTATGACTGTGCAAAAACGAACTGGGCAAGGAATGGCAATGGGGTGTTTCACCCGATAGAACACAATCGGCCAAACCATAAAGACAGAAAACAGTATGGTGCCCAGGCTGGCATGTAGACAACAGTGAGGATGGAGCATGCCGGACTGGAGTAGTCAGAGATTGATTACCTGGTGTGCAGGACCCAGCTATGGAGGGCTTTATTTTAACTCCACTGGGTTCTCAGGCCATTAAAAGTCACAGAGATGTTTGTGCTGGGTGGGGCCTAATCAGGACAAGGAAATAGCCCAGGGGGACCTCATCTGATTCTGGGTCTGAAGTCCTGTGCTGGTAGGCAGAAAAGGTAAGAGACGGGTTACAAAAATGTTTGATGGAGGATTGGAAAAATTTAATATGGACATTAAATATGGGCTACAGAGAAGTAAGAGCCTTAAGTAACTCCAAATTCCCACTGGAGACACACGGCTACTAGCTATTGACGAAGACTCTGAAGAGGGAAGGACAGAGGTGGGTTTTTGAGGGAGACGGGTTTAAGACACAGTCAGAGGCACTGTATTTACTATACCAATAGGACACACACACACCTTGTAAGTACCATCACTTAGCTGATCTACCTGAATCTGAATCAATTTTGTAAAAAGAGTACAGTCAGAGATACTGTGCTCTTGGGGAATCATCAATATCCAGCAAGCAGTTCAAGTCTTTGGAATGCATATCCTGTGAGAAAAGGGGGAAATCCTGACAAATATCAGGAATAGAAGGTGAGCTGAGGATGTAGAAGAGGGGAAAAAAAACAAGAAAACAGGAAAAACCAACAGGAAGACTAAAAAGTAAAAGCAGTGCAGAAGTCAGAGCAGAGAAGAACATCCAAGAACACAGTAAGACACATAAAAAAAGCAGAGAGCAGTGAGATGGCTGAGTGATAAGGAAATCTACTCTGCAAGCATGAGGACCAGAGCTCAAATCTCCAGGACATTGCTGTAACCCCCAGGATTGGAGATCTGACAACTAGCTGGCCAACCAGGCAGCCTGGCAGAACCAGTGGGCTTCCTGTCAAGTGAGGGACCCTGTCTCAAGGCAACAAAATGGGGAGCAAAAGAATAGCAGCCATCCTCCAGTTTTGTTCCCCACATACACAAGTGTACAGGTACTTAAACCCATGTAGTCACGTGTGTGTCCACAGAAAACATGGAGACGGGGACCTGAATATTAAAGTACTCAGTCTAAAAAAATCACTGAAATCGATCACTTGTGTCCTCCTACCCGAATCCCCAGCTTTCCAACACTTGAGACCAAAGGAGAAAGGTTTGTAGCACTCATAATTAGTGTCACAGAGCTTATTAGTTCTTTGGTGAAACTGGGTTGTTGAATTCCAGGGAGCACAAGAATACAAGGAGGAGAGTTAGAGTGTTGTCACCCCCCTATGACTGACTATAGCTGCTGTTTGTTTTTTGTTACTCTCTCCCATGGCTGGAAACTGCAGGTAAGAATTCAAAACTCCTACCTTTGTTCTGCAAAATCCTATTTTACTGTAATCATCCATGATGGATCAGTTTGAAATTGAGGGCATCATACAGAAAGCCAGCCTGGGTCAATTTTATCAGAGCTAATCTGTTTTAAATTGGAATGGTCTAGCATAAGAGACACTTTGCAAACATCAGCGCTGGGGCATAATACCAAACAGCACCCTCTGACTCCCCCCCCCCCCCCACACACACTTTCATAAAATGTGAGAGGCCACATGGGATGTATTGCAAAGGCCACTGTGTTATTCAGGAAACAGCAACAGGATACAGATCAGCAGTTGCTTTCTGCCCTGTGAAATGTAGCCATGTCAGCCATCTGGGATGGAGCTGGTGTCAGATCCAAAAGAATCTCTATTTCCCCAAATTCCAAAAGACAGGAGGGACAAATGTCTATCTGTGGTGCCTGTTAGCATACCAAAGTGCGTGCTGGCCTCCTTTAGTATCAAGGTATTACTTTTTCAATTTTCTGCCCATGACTGACTCTGTTTCTTGATTACTATGGGAATGTAGGTAACTATTTGAATCACTTTTTCTTTCTGTATATATTCAAGTGGATCCCTGGATCACAAGCTATTCTATTTTTAGTCTTTAAGGAATATCTATAGCATTTTCCATGATGGATGCATAGTTACTGACCCCCACCAACAGTATGTTAGAGCTTTGATCCCAGCTGATGTGAGGTAAGATTTCACTGGGTCTGGATCTGTGTTTCCTTGAATAGTAATGAACATTTTCCCCATACTTGTGGAAATGGATAGATACATCTTTAAGAAGTGTATAAACAGATAACTCTGTATTTGTTATTGAGTTATTTGAGTTCCTTTGACTTTAGATGCCAATCTGTCATTGCATAATAGTGGGTCAAAGTTTTCTTCCATTTGTTTTCTTTGTTGTACACAAGCTTTTTAGTTTGGTGTCAAATGACCTGGTTGTGAGGCAGGGATGTGTGCCTTTAATCACTGGCTCTTCTTTCTGATCAAAATAATTACTGTGATGACTCACAGGCTAAATACTGAGCAAGAGCTTGCTGGAATGCCAATTCTTTCATGTGTATTGTCTCCTAAGAGGTAGTTCAAGGCCAAGATACAATTTTGGAAGTTGGTGCTAATAAGACACTTACCCAATACTTATTATATACCAGAACTGGACTCAGGGCTCTCATGCATTGTTTCATTGTAAGGCATTGTCTAGGTCCACAGGGAAGATTTGATTGTTCTGTCTATTATGTAGAAGAAACAGGTTTGGAAAGATTAAGAAATTTATCGGTTTGAAGCATAGGCCTTTTTGATTCTTTGGACTTGGACTTTAAAACATTTTATTGTATTGCATATGAGACAGAGGTGGGGACTAAACAAAGTCCCTGTTGGGTCACCTACAGATATTGTGAGATGAAGACTAGATGGCGTTGAAGAGAATAATGAAGAAAGGCAAAGG